GAGTCTAGTTATCTATATATATATATATATATATATATATATATATATATATATATATATATATATTATTATTATTATTATTATTATTATTATTATTGCTACTAACCGCATTTCTGGATCTACTAACTGTATCACCAATTGTATTATTACGTCAATACATTTATTTGCTATATTTCATTACTGCGTTTGTCATTCATTTTGAGACCGGATTTCATCCCGGAATCCACAAATCTAATACACACAAATATGAGTAAAACCAGAAACTCCTTCTAGGTTAGTTGACAGAGGTCTCAGAAAACTACGATGAATGCTGAGCAATCGCCTCAAAGATGAAGGGAAGATTTGAAGCAATAGAAATATGGTTCTATCGAAGAATTCTGAGAATAAGTTGGACTGAACATGAGAGCAACGACTAAGCTTTAGAGAAAATGGAAACAAAAAGTAAACTTATACTTACCACCAGGAAGAGAATTGAAATATCATAATGAGGAAAGGGGGTTTCGAAAACTTGACACTCACAGGACAGATAGAAGGTAAGACGAACAGAGGAAAGCAAGGCATAATCTACCTAGTGAGCGTGTGCAAAAGACATTTATTAAGCGCTACAAAGGACAGAAAATTGTGGAGAGACAAGATCGCCAACGTCCTAAAAGGACATGGCATATAGACGAGAAGACCTGACAAAACATGAAAATTCGAGTGTTAAAAAAAGCACACTAATACAGAAGGGTTAAGTATCTTCTTATAACACCCGCAAAATCTAGAATTCTAGAGAAAGCAAATGATAAGAATTATTGCTCGTAAAACTTTCATCCACATTACCAACGTTAACCAAAAAATGGCTACTATACTTAGCTTAATATTTTACCATATGCAAGGTTTGATCAAAGAAAACGTCGGAATTCTTTGTCGTTTTCTTTCTCTCATGCGCTGAGCAGGAATTACAAATGCCATCAGCACGGATTCTGATTTATTGCAGACGCTTTGGCACCATCGAAAATTTGTTTTGTTTTTCTTTTTTCTTTTATTCCAATTTCTATTCACAGTAGAAAGATCAATAGATATTTTTTTATTCCCGAAAAGGTTAGAATCTGAAGAACATATGCTCTCAAATAAATCTACTTCATGTGTCATGTCCCTTCAGGGCGTGGACGATTATGACTCTCCACACATAATATTCTTTGTAGCTTTAAGCAATGTTTGTCCTCTGACGATTCCTTACAGTTCCTGTTCAGACATCTATTTGCTATTTGCACAAGCTCGTTAAGTTGATCATGACTCTCCACAACTTCCTATCATTGCTATTTCATTCTGTCCCCTTGCCGTGAATAGATACTGTCAGTTCCAAATTCCTCAAACCCTCTTTCCTCATTTGTCATTTCAGGAATTTAAATTGTCACATTTTGATTCTAAGTAAAAATGTGCTTTTTTCCAATTTTCTTGAAAACTTCCTGAAACAGCGAAGTTACGTCGAACCTGGCCAATACTCAGATGGATGACCGCTTGGGAATACCAGGTGCTCTAAGCAAGGGTGTGTGGTTGGTGTAATGGATAACGACTCGGAATAGTTAATTGGGGAGCCGAGTTCCAATTCCAGTAGATATTTTTTTTATATTCACTTACGCGCAAATACTCTTGGGAAAAGTATGAATCCAACTCTCCCGCAGCCATGGGTTAACTAGTAAGACTTGTATCACTAAATCATTATCTCTCCACCCTCAAAAAATCATTTCAATCTAAAAGTAACCTGCAAAGGGTTCATAAGCCATACAAAAAATCCAATCGAAAAAATTCAAAATTCCTCGTTGTTCATATGTTCCTTGAATAATATTCTCAGCATCCTTCTGTAGAACCCCATCTCTCTTGCCTTGCGTTTCGTTATTATCTGTGAGGAAATTGTCGGACATTCACTACCATATAGAAGTATTAATATTGTACAACAGATGAGCACTCTTACCTTTGTTTCTAACAAGATTTTCCTGTTTCTAAATACTTAGTTGAGCTTTTTGAGGGCATCTTTCTCTATTATAATGCACCTTCGAATGTCTGTTATAACACTTCCCAAATAATAAAATTTCTGTACTTTCTTTAATTGGACATCTTGCATCTTGGGATGCCCCTCATGCTTCTGACCATATAGTCTTTCTTCTTAGAACTGATAGTCGCGCTTTCCTTTAAAACTTTGTTTAGGAGTCCCTACAGTTTCCTATTTGTGTCTGCTATTAACTCTGTGTCATCTGCGTATCGTATGTTGCTAAGACTGTCCCACCCAATAAAAATACGAGTGTCACTTATAGTCCTTTTAGGATTACCTTATAGGGCAAATAATTTTGCTTGATTTTCTTTAGCGGAATATCAACATCTATGGGTTATTTAATGCTGAAAGGTAACTATTTTGAATAATTTTATGACTTCAACTAAATATATTTTGAACGCAACTGTATGCCTTCAACTACAGATCAAATGTATTGTTGATCATTTTGCTATAAAATGTATTGTTGGTAATTCTAGTATAAAATGTATTGCCGGCCATTTTGCTTCAAAAATGTAGTTTACCATTTTAGTTTACTTGTATTGTTGGTCACCTCACTACAGACACGCTCTGCTAGTAATCTTACTATAAATATGTATCGTTGATAATTTTTATATGGTGTAATGGAATAACCTGCCACCCCATAAGTGGCGGCACTATAGTTAGTAACCACCTATAAGTATCCGTTAGGACAGCGGACAGGAGAGTAGAGCTGGGATCTGCGAGAACTAGCGGCCTTCCAATAGCAGCACGCATAGAACTGTACTGACTTGCGACGACCGTGTGCATAACTATTCCTTACTTGTTGTACTAGTTTCTACAATAAACCTCTTACTATTTATCCACCGAGTTTGTCCATTCGATATTCCTATTAGCACGGAATATCTATAAAAGGCAGTGTGTGTGTGTGTGTGTGTGTGTGTGTGTGTGTAACGAATGCACAGCCGCAATTTTCGACGGATTTGCACCAAAATTTACATGCACATGCTCCAAGTTAGCGGAAAGGCCAAGACCGACTTTTCATTTCCCAACTCCCATCGATAGTGGAAATAATCGATTTTTTTCATGCTTCTACGGCACTTTTCATGTAGTTTGCGGCCATTTTCTACTGGCCAGAGTGAGAGCCTATAGCTGGCTGCCACGAATAGGCAGGAAGATTCTATTGGCCAGCGTGAGAGCCAACAGCTGACTGACACGAATGTTAACTAGCATGCTAGCACGCAAAAAAATCGATAGCTGCATTCGTCACAAGTGGGGAAAAATTTAAATCTGCCTGGCACTTTACTCCAATTGGCTCATTCGCTTGCTTATACTCAACGTTGATTCTGATTCCGCAGAACTCGGTTGGGTGTGAAAAAGTATTTGTTGTTAACATTCTTTTTTTCATTCGGTTTTTCCAGTTACGAGTCCATTTTTAAAGCTGATCGTTTTGTGTTCATTTTGTTTAATTCTTTTTTTGTAATAGATTTAATGTTTAGTATAGAGCTTGGAAAAAATTCGCAGTGTGAGATAGGCATGAAGTAAGGCATGTAGCAACATCAGTACGGCAAAGGGCACTCCTTTAAAGGCGAGGAAGGGCAAAAATATTTTACGTCGAGTGATAGCGATTGCTGTATGAGTCGTGTGATTTTTTAAGCTCGGGCAACACCGGGCCATGCTGCTAGTACTATTATAAAAATTTATTGTTATTTTTAGTATAAATATGTATTTTATCTTTTCATTTTTGCATGCCTTGTGGGAGTAATGGATAGCGGCTCGGATTCGGCAATCGGAGAGCCGAGTTCGAATTCCAGTCGTATCAGTTACATTCACTTACGTGTTAATACCTTTGGGAAAGGTATGAATCCTCTTCTTATCCCCCCCCCAGCTACGGGTAAATAGCAGGACAGACCGGGTTCTATAACCTTGAATAGCAACTAGTCTACCGCAGAAAGAAATGGCAACCTACTGCAGGAAAAAATCTGCCTCGTCAGTCATGTATTGTATGCCTTCAACTACAGATAAAATGTATTGTTGGTAATTCTACTGTAAAATGTATTGGTAGTCATTTTCCTATAAACATGCATTGTTGGTAAAAAATGTATTTTTATTAGTTTCATGGTATTTTGTTTTTGTTTGAGTTATTCATTATTTGCCCATAACTGGTACTCTACCAGGTGATGCCACTCTGGATCAGGGTGGATCATTCAGAGGTGGTTCCACGCTCCTGAAAACCTCTAATCTCCCGATCAAATGCCTTGCTGCCGGATGTAGTTTATCATCATACCCAGGACTAATAGGTTGAATAAATCCCTTGAGAAGACGCTTCCTTGTCTCACAACCCCTTACTATTTTTTGTGTATTTGCTGAATTCATTTTCTATTCGTCGGCAGGCTGTTTGTTCCTAATAAATGTTCTGGATTATTTTAATATCTTTCCTAAATAAAGTTTTCCTGTCAGTTCAAATAGATTTTCTTGTTATACCTTATCGAATGAAAACTCTAAAAGAAAATAAATATTTAAATTATAAATAACAAATGGAGTCGGAAGGGTACATTAGTACAAGTCAGAAAACTCCTATTTTTCTTATATAAATTTAGCTTCAAATCTATGTTCTTCATGTATAATAAAAGTTTCTCCTTAAATTTATATTAAAATGGCTGTCAAATTTTGAAGTGCTACGTTCGAGAGTTAATGTTATTCGTCTGTAGTGGCGGGAAAATAGTGAAAAGGAAAAATGAAGAGCAGAAAGATATGACGACAAATTAGGAAAGAAGGAGATTGGTACAAAATGGCGGAAAGACTGAAAGGATAAAAGAAAGATAAAATCTATAGAAAGAGAACAATAGAAAAATGAAGAGAGGAGGATTGAGTGGATGAATGCATTAGAAAAACGAAAGAAAGAATGATAGGAGGAAGGAAAATGAATGAAGAATGAGAGAGAAAGAAGGAAACAAAGAATGAAGGGAGAAGTGAGGATTAATAAATCTTAGAAAGAAAGAAAGAAACAACGAAGAGAGGAGGGTGAATAAATGTTAGAAAGATGGAAACAACAAGATGGTAAAGAAAGAAAGAAAGGAGGAAAAGGAGAGTGAGAAAAAAAGAGGAAAAGGAGGGAGAAAGAAGAGGAGAGAGAAAGAAAAAGAGGAAAAGGAGAGAGAGAGGAAGAAGAGGAGAGAAAGGAAAAGAGGAAAAGAAGAGAAAAAGAAGAGGCGAGAAAAAGAGAAGAGGAGAGAGGGAAAGAAAAAGAGGAAAAGGAGAGAGGGAAAGAAAAAGAAGAAAAGGAGAGCGAGAGAGGAAGAGTAAAAGAAGAAAAGAAAGAGTAAAGCGGTAAAGAAAATAAGAGGGAGAAAAAGTAATAGATAATAAAGGAAGAATTAATTAATACTGAAAGGAAGAAAATCTCGCAAAATAAACTGAAAAAAAAGACAAAATTTTGCATGAGGCTCCTCTACCTGATTTGAAAATCAGCATTCGAAACAAAAAACTTTTACTGATAGAAATACGCAACTCGGCTACAATTGCGATTTAATCGCAAGATTCAAATTTACAACATTCTTTTTTTAATTATAAAGCTTCTAAATTCAGTATCTCTATTAGACTTGGGTCATTGCGACATAAAGCAAATTGTAGAAGAATGAAGTAGGAAGACTGTGTTACGCCAACTCTTCTGAATGATGAGTGTCTGCCTACTTTTAAAATCAGTATTCCAAATCCTGGCTTTTTGTGCAAGTAACATAATTAGGGAGGTAAAGAACGATGAAAGTTAACAAGGAGATAAACAAAAACAATGAAAGCGAATTGCCATAGGACCTACAACGATAACCAACAAGAAAGAAAGGAAACAATTGAAAATTAGTGGAAAATTCGTCCATCGAAAAATAGCAATTAGGAACGGACAAACGGTTTCACGTAGGAAAATGATAGCCATGAAACCAACGGAGACAGCAAGATGGCGCTAGACATTGTGCAACCGCCTTATTCTGGACTATTCCAGAAATAATCATAAACAAAACATACGGGACTTTTCTTCCTTTTGTTATCTTTTTTCTTTTGTAATTTTTCTATCATATGAAAAGTCTTTTCATTATTGTCAAAGTGTGTTTCTCTTGTAATCAATGAATATTTATTAGATTGATATAAAAGTTCCCAGTACTATTCTTGAAGAATGCTAGAGAAATCTTAGAAGTGCCTTTCAAGTTTATAAAACTCCTTCAAGCATGTTCAGTCATGTGAAGTACGTCGTTTACAAATCTTTGACGTTTCCTTCGAGATAATTCTAATCTTTATTATTTACACTATTTATATTCGAACTATTGTCCTCATCTTTGTTGTTGTTATTACAACGTTTCGGTCACTGTGTTCTTCCGGACTTACTCAGGTGTATATCGATTTGGGTAACCTACGGGGAATTTTGAAATGAACCCTTTATTTAATCTACGGAGATTAACTGTTCTCGTTCCATTGCTAATGCCTATGAATATCGTATAGTTCTTATTTTTATTTAGCCCGTTTCCAAGTACACACTACCGGATCCAGGGATTGAACTCACAACCAGTATGTAACCAAATTCACAAATCAACGCTTCTGCACACTAGGCCATTGCATGGATGCGTAACCGAGTGGTTAGAACGTTTGCTTTCTATGAGACCCGCCTTTGAATATGACATCTTGATCGCCTGAGGTGATGATCCCTGCGTGTGTATCCTTTGGTACATGTCTGAAACCACACCCAGGTCGTGTGAATGAAATTAGGTAGATAGAACAATTCCGTCGATGGTTGTGCTAGCGCGAAGTCACTAGTCATCGTGACCGAGCGTACTGTATTTGTTCAAACGGTTGATACACTGGAGGTGGCTATCTCCCTGAAACTATAAGCTTTTGTTTTCAATATACTTGCAGTATAAACTGCAGGTTGTGTTTGTGGGTGTTGAACAACATAAATGTGTCTGATTAGGCGTCTGCAACAGGGATTGACTAGTCGTCATACCAAGCGGCCAGCCAATATGTACAATCAGTCAACTGTCGTAAGTCGTTTACAAACCTTGGACATGTCTCTCTAACATCGGACTATATTCCTGAGATGAGGTATTGCAACTATTTAGACTATTACATTGTTCGGACTCTTATCATCTTTATTGTCATATTCACGACATTTCGGCCGCTGTGCACTCTGGCCTTCTTCCTGTGATTGGTATTTCGAACTGAACCCTCTCTTCTTCTTCTTCTTCCACGTGCTATGCCTTTTCTGCATAATTCAGTTTCAGTTATTTACATGACCCAATGGACAAAATCTTTGGTTGAAGTAATCTAGTGACTTGACCCAAAGCGTTGTGAGTTCAATACCTGACCACAGCAGAGGTGAGCAAAAACTAAGGGAGTTGAGTTACTAAAGGGAAATAACTGAAACTGAGATATCCAGAAAAGGCATGGCACGTGGAACTAGAAAAATCTATCCCCGGTGGACGAAATAGAGAGTCCGGTTCGAAATTCCAACGTATGTCACCTGAGGGAGGTCAGATCGTACAACGGCCGAAACGTCGTGAATATGACAATAAAGATGAGGACAAGAGAAAAAAAAAAAAAAAGAAGGAAGGAAAAATGGAAACGGAAGGAAAAATGGAAAAGGAAGGAAGGAAGGAAGGAAAAATGGAAACGGAAGGAAAAATGGAAAAGGAAGGAAGGAAGGAAGGAAAAATGGAAAAGGAAAGAAAAATGGAAAAGGAAGGAAGGAAGGAAGGAAGGAAAAATGGAAAAGGAAGGAAGGAAGGAAGGAAGGAAGAAAAATGGAAAAGGAAGGAAAAAATGGAAAAGGAAGGAAGGAAAAAATGGAAAAGAAAGGAAGGAAGGAAGGAAAAATGGAAAAGAAAGGAAGGAAGGAAGGAAAAATGGAAAAGAAAGGAAGGAAGGAAGGAAAATGGAAAGGAAGGAAGGAAGGAAAAAAATGGAAAAGGAAGGAAGGAAGGAAGGAAAAATGGAAAAGAAAAAGGAAGGAAGGAAGGAAAAATGGAAAAGAAAGGAAGGAAGGAAGGAAAAATGGAAAAGAAAGGAAGGAAGGAAGGAAAAATGGAAAAGAAAGGAAGGAAGGAAGGAAAAATGGAAAAGAAAGGAAGGAAGGAAGGAAAAATGGAAAAGAAAGGAAGGAAGGAAGGAAAAATGGAAAAGAAAGGAAGGAAGGAAGGAAAAATGGAAAAGAAAGGAAGGAAGGAAGGAAAAATGGAAAAATGGAAAAGAAAGGAAGGAAGGAAAAATGGAAAAGAAAGGAAGGAAGGAAAAATGGAAAAGGAAGGAGGAAGGAAGGAAAAATGGAAAAGGAAGGAAGGAAGGAAGGAAAAATGGAAAAGAAAGGAAGGAAGGAAGGAAAAATGGAAAAGAAAGGAGGAAAGAAGGAAGGAAAAATGGAAATGGAAGAAAGTAAAATGGAAATATCTCTCTAAGTTAACACTACATTTTATTGAATGTTTAATCACTGAACTGAAGTGTAACCCGGATATAAGAGACTTCTTCTCCGGTCCCGACAACTCTCTTATATCCGGGTACCATGTTTGCAAGACTTAGATAAATATCTTTGAAGGTATATGACCTGAAATGAAACTCAGTCAGCAACGAAACGAGGTCAGTGGCGTCTTGTCTTATTTACCGAACTTGGTCTGGTACAAACCTAAGAGTATCGAGCACGCATCAAGAAATGAACTCACAGCTCTTTCAAATTGGCCGACGAGACACACTTGTCATTGTCAACCACTGAGCGATGGAAACGTTCGCCCAAGTTGGTCTGAGGCAATTAATCTTCATGCTTATTGAAAGCAAAGTTTTCACCTTAGCGACATCGGACGTCAGAGACGAGTGAACACACACTGACTGAAACGTTCAGAAAAAGTGAGTGAGGAAGGAGACTGTATCTACACGATTGTTATGGAACGGGGAAAAAATGGAGGCCAGTAAAGTGAGCTAAAAAGATAAATGAAGCTGGGCCGAGACTTTTTGTTTTCTCTGTTAAGATCATTTTTTTTTCTTTATCAGCCAGTCTGCATGAATCATTGAAAACTAAACAGACGATGGTTGGTGTAAATTGGTGTGACGCGTTATCGGAAATAAGCCATAAGAGAATGCTACAGTTTTGACGAAGAGAGAAGCCCCATTTAATTTGTCGTAATAATATAAGCAATAAATGAAATGTTATTTATATTATTACTATAAATTAAATATATTTGTCACATATAAATAATGGGATATGGGAATTTTGTAACGTTTATCGTTGATGGAAAATGAAATCAATAAAACGAGCTCAAATCTCGGCTTAGTCTATTGCGTTCAATTTCGGACAAATTCCCCTAGAAAAAGCACGTATCTCTTTCTTTTTCTCTCTCTCTTCTCGACCCTACCCTACGCCGGCTATTTGGTGGAAAACAGTTTTATAATCAAAATAGTGAGTTATAAAACCGTGGAGAAGGTATAAAGATCTTGTTCTGCCGATTAACAGCAACATGAAACCAAAACTCTCGTCCGAAGAATTGTTATGGTTTGGTTTGGTTTGGTTTACGGCATATCAACATCAATGGTTTATTTAATGCCGACAAGATTTTTATTGCTACTAATATTTTTTTTTAAAAAAATGTATTGCTGATAATATTTTTTTTGCTTAAAAAGTGTATTGCGGGTAATGTTTTTTTATAAAAATGTATTGCTGATATTAAAACCTATTTTTATACTTTCATAGTGTTTAGACGCCAATTCGCGGGTTAACTATTTGCCCATAGCTGGGAAAAACAGGTGCTCCCACACCGGATCAGGGAACACCAGCAATTAAAAGGTTGTTCCACGCTCCTTGCTGTTGGATGTAGTTTATCGTCTTACCCAGGACGAAAATTGTTATGTAACTCCGGACTTTTTTAGTTCTATCTATCTATCTATCTATATATATATATATATATATATATATATATATATATATATATATATATATATGTGTGTGTGTGTGTAAATATATAGAAAAATAGGAAAGAACACATTAGGTAAATAATCCGGAGTTCTTTAGTATTCTTATTTTTTTATAATTATTTTTTACTTTTTAAAAAATAATTATATGTATATATATATATATATATAGACAACCGTGAAATCATCTTCTCGCGAAGGTGCAAGAGACTTTGGGAGACTGCACAATCATCCCTTTGTTTAATATAACCACGTACATTAAATTTCCCACGCTTGCAAAACCGTTGTGAGATCACGTTCTTCTTCATTCCGAGGCCCGTAACAACCCTGGTTCAACCCTGGCTTTCATAATAGTCTGATGTAAAAATCGAGTACAATGTCTGTTCTAGTATCATATTACAAAGCCAACAGGAGACCACTCCATTCTCTTTCCCAAGAACGCGTGGCAGTTCACAGAAAATAAAGGAATCTATAGTAAGCCATGATCCCCAACCTCATGGCATGTTGAAAAATATAGAAGGAAATACTGATGATTAAAAAGAATGTTCTAATCAACGTTACCCGTCTTGGGTATGACGATAAACTACATCCGGCAGCAAGGCTTCTGATCGTGAGGTTTTGAGAAGCATAAACAACCTCTTAATCGCTGTTGTTCTCGGGTTCACCTTGACTCTGGGTGATATCCCCTGTTAGGGTCACAGCTATGGGCAAATTGTTAACCCCCAAATTGGTGTCAAAAACTATGAAATTTATAGTAAAAAAATACCAGCAATTCATTTTCATAGTAAGAAATTTGTAAATTTTTTTTTAAATTACCAGCTATACATTTTTGTAAAAAAAAAAAAAAAAATTTTAAATTACCAGCAATATATTTGTAAAAAAAAATAAATACCAGTGATACATTTTGAAAAAAATAACGACAATATGTTTTTAAAATATACCAGCAATACATTTAAAAAAAAAAAAAAAAAAACTACGAGCAGTACATTTTTGGAAAAAAATTTAAAAAATATTACCAGCAATGCATTTTTGCCGAAAAATAAAAACTAAATACATTACCAGCAATACATTTTTGTTAAAAAATATATCAGCAATATATTTCTGTAAAAGAAATTACTAATGTTTCCAAGAAAATTAATTTTCAGTATTAAATGACCCATAAGAAGTTGATATGCTGTAAAACAAACCAAACCAAGTGAAACTAATCAATGTTACAAAGAAAATATATCGTTTGTTTGGACCTTTACTTTGCATCATTTATTTCTGTTTTGAATTTTCCTTCCATATTCTTATCGTCTGTTTATTCCAGCTAGAAAATAAAAAGTCTCCCTTTTTTCTGTTTCTTTGCTCTTGGGTACCAATTTGTTATTTGTAAGGACCAACTGTCATCAAACATTCAAGTTACATGACCGGTCATTGTTAGGTTTTGTAGTCAAGAAAGTTAAAAGATAATATTTATATAATACTAACAATGACACCCAGCGTTGCTAGGACTAAATACTTTTTTCTTTCGCGCTACACGCTATACATATCTACCTGACGCCATCCTCTTTCTTCCATATTTTAGAACCATTTTACATAAAGTTCGTATTTTCGTGACTTCAGATGAAAACTTGAAAATTCTTGATTTTCGAAAATTCTAATTTATATGAAAAAGAAAAGGCGTCACTTTAAATTGATGCCAGTGGGATAAGAGCAATTGAAAATGGCAAGTTGAAATGATTTTAAAAAGGATAAAAATGAGGCCGTGTCTCCAAATTAGAAATGCGGCCAGATTATAAAATAATACGATAGACGATTGTAATGTATTGATTCAAATATACATCAGTTTTGTTTAACTAAGAAGGACTGCTAGGCCTCGCCTGTACGTTATATAAATAAAATGTCGGTAGGAATGAAAAAAAAAAGAATCAAACACACTCAACACTGACTACATTTTTCAGTTATGGTTGATTTTCTAAACAATTTCCATACTACAAGCACTCAATTAACCTCCCTTACATTTCTTTCACTAGTTTTATAAACTGTACCCTCCATGATACGGTGGATTAATGGTTAGCGGCACGGATTAAGGATTACTGCGGGAAAAAAAATCTGCCTATTCAGTCATGTATCGAAAGATACATGATCGCCTAAACGTGTATCACACATGGCACATAACTGACTGAAATCTATGTACAAATATCTAAAAATTGTCTGTGAAATTAACTAAAAAATACTAATAACTTTTAATCCGACCAATAGATAAACACGGTGGAGTAATGGATTGAGGAATCGGAGAGCCGAGTTCAAATTCCAGTTGAATCCATTACATTCACTTACGTGCTAATACCCTTGGGGAAGGTATTAATCCTCTTCTTCTCCCTCTAGTTTTGGGTAAATAGCAGGACAGATCGGGTTTTTGGGTGGCAACTGGTCTACCGCAGAAAGAAATGGCAACCTACTGCGGGAAAAAATATCTGCCTCGTCAGTCATGTATCGAAAGATCGTGTATCACGCATGGCACATAACTGACTGACTGTCCTTTGGATTAAAACTCTGTGATGCGTCAGAAATAAAGCGAAAACTGGCGATCGAAATGAAAAAGATATTGGGTTTCTTGAACAGGGTTTGGCCAGAATTAGGAATGGACAATTTTGAACAGATATAATAACAAATTTAATTAGTTTTTTTTTCTATAGATAGAGGAAATTATACTGCATTTCGAAGGCCATTAATAGAGGTTAAGTCATATCACGTCGGCATCACCAGCTAATGTGGGTTAATATGTCGAGTAAATCACCAGGTAGTTGGTGAGCTATGGAAGAAATGAATATTCTCACAGTTTGTATTTCCCCCATTATTGGTATTATTATATCCATGATATAATAATACTTTCATGCACAGACTGAACGGAATGGCTGAAAGGAAAAGGAATGGCAAACATGCTTTGTTCACAGAGAGATTATATCATATCAAGTCATACACACAATTATAAACACATATTTACACGTTTCAGACACAAAGGAACTATATGACATGTCTACAACAACAAACAGTATGAAAACAGAGTTTTACTTATAATATTTCCTGAAGGGAAAACTAGAGGTACATCGGTCGCTCTATGAAACTGGTGAGGTCATGTGGTATTCCCAGTAAGACATACTGCTTTTAGGATAGGGATGTCCTTCTTCTCCGGGTTTTACATTGTAACTGGCCTTCGTCACTATTCCCCTGACATCACTCACCAGCTGTCACATGACGTTATCTCAACCAAAGGGAGATAATCGCTTTTTATATGCCTACACCATTTTCGTTTTATGCATAACTTTTCTACCAACAAGGAAAGTTTCTGAATATGAGACAAGTTATAAAAAAATAAATAAGGTTAATATGTCGGTGTTTGTTCGAAAATTGACACAGAAATCAGCACTACTTATTATTTATTTATTTATTATTGCTTTTTCAATTCATTATAAATGATATAATATTTGAAATGCATTTTTCACAGAAATGTCTTTATTTATTTTATTATATAAATAATGTGTTTTCTGACTTTCGTTTTTTTTGTTTTTGTTTTTTTTTTTTTTTGTTGTTGTTTTTTTAACTGGACGATTTCCTAGTAGATAATTACACCTTTTCCAGAAATATTAATTTCTCTTCATTTGTGTATAGTGTTCTTTACATTTACACCAAAATTTCAGGAATACTATAGAAAATTTCGAGAAGACTTTACAAGAGAAAACGCTGTTCTTTTATTGTCCTTTCTCTTCAATAACAGTTTCTTTCGCTCTCAGTAACTCCTTGAGTCTGAGTGTCTTTATCGCCTTTCTTGGGTGTAAAATTAATGAAAAAAAATGAAGATTAACGAAAGCTGGGCAAGACTGGCTTGTGTGGTGTCGTTTTTGTTTGT